TCAAGAATGCAAATACCCATTTCATTGATACAAAGGTAAGAATGTCATCCCTTGACATTGAGTGGAGAATAACGGGGAATTTAGGGATGGCCAGAAAAACAGAACAAGCATAAAATGGGTGAATTACTGGCTGATTTACACTGATAGGTCCATATGCCATGGCTAGTTATGGGTGACTTCAACCTCATAACGAACTATCTTCAAAAAAGTGGCACTAGAGGGCCTGATATAAAGGAAATGAAAATGTTTCGACAAACATTGGAATCCTGCGATCTAGAGGATTGTGGTTTCTATGGGAGACCCTTCCCCTGGGAGAATAACAAATCAGGAGAAGACTACACCGAGGAACGACTTGATAGAGCAGTCGGGAATAAACAATGGTTGGATTTCTTCCCTCTAATGCGAGTCAATCACTTGGAGAGGTGTGGTTCTGACCACATTCCCATCCAGGTAAAACTAAACTTGGAAGAGGAAGAGATTACGTGGGGATGGAACTTCATATACGAACCATACTGGGAAAGACACGAAGACTGTGGGGTAGTAATTAAAGAAGAGTGGCTAGCTCAACCAAGTCTGGGGATAATGGGTAGAATCAAAAAATGGCCGAATAGACTCAAAAGTTGGAGCCAAATTGCTTTTGGTTCTCTGAAAGAAAGAAGTAAACCGGTAGAGAAGGCTTTTCGAGTCTTAGAGAAGAGAAAAGGGACAAAAGTTGTTCAGATCCAGAGAAGAGTAATTGAGCAGAAGCTGAATGATATTATCCTCCAAGAGAAGATGAAGTGGAAGCAACGATCGCGAGCTGATTGGCTCAAAGAAGGTGACTGCAATACGGGATATTTTCATCGAAAAGCTTCGGAAAGAAGACGAAAGAATACCATAAGGAAACTACGGAATGAGATTGGTCAGGTTTTCATGGGGAAACAAGAGGTTAGTGATTGTTTGAGACAGTACTTACGGACTTTATTCAAAGCAGGGCCTCGACCAGAACAGAGTAGGATTCTTTCAGCAGTTACTCCCAAAGTAACGTCAGAAATGAATCGGGAACTTCTAAGACCCTACCCAGATGAAGAAATTTGGCTGGCCCTGAAACAAATGGAACCAAACAAGGCTCCTGGGGCAGATGGCATGTAAGCCAGATTTTTTCAAAGAAATTGGAATGTTGTCGGACCAGTAATAAAGGAGGAAATCAAGAGTTATTTGGAGTGTGGAGAATTCCCCCAACAGCTCAACCATACACTAATAACTCTGATACCAAAGAAGAAACAACCAGAAACCCCCTAGACTTTAGACCTATAAGCCTCTGCAAGGTGATCTACAAGATCATCTCGAGAGTAATAGCAAAGAAACTAAAGGGACTGCTGAATCGGATTATCGAGAACCCCAGAGTGCCTTTGTCCCAGGGAGATACATCACAGACAATGTATTAGTGACTTTCGAGCTGTTCCATACTATGAAGCAGAAAACTAAGGTCAAGAAGGGTCTAATGGCAGCTAAATTAGATATTTCTAAAGCCTATGACAGAGTAAAGTGGACTTCTTGAGGCAATCATGCTCAAGCTAGGTTTTGCAGAACAATGGGTCAAGCTAGTAATGAATTGTGTTTCGACTGTTACCTACTAAGTACTAGTTAATGGACACCAGACTGAAACTTTCAAACCAGAACGTGGACTAAAACAAGGGGATCTTATATCTACTTACTTATTCCTATTCTGTGTAGAGGGACTTGCAGCACTAATGACTAAAGCAGCAAGGGATGGCAGGATACATGGTCTAAAAGCTTCAGTTTGAGGACCATCAGTCTCTCACCTCTTGTTTGCATACGACATCATCTTCTTTACGCGAGCTACACCCCAAGAATGCGATGTCTTGATAGAAATTTTGAAGACCTATGAGCTGGAATCATGGCAGATGGTAAATTTACAAAAATCAGAAATAAGCTTTAGTCTGAGTGTAACAGCATAACGGAGAAACCAGTTGGTGTCAATTTTGGGGATGAAGCAGGTATCAGAGCATGCAAAATACCTAGGTCTCCCCACTACAATTAGAAGGCAGAATAATACTACTTTTAGGGCACTAGTGGATAGAGTCAGAAAAAAGGTCAAACTTTGGAAGAGCCATTCTCTATGCATTGCTGCTAAAGAAGTCCTTATCAAAGCTTGCCCAAAGCCATTCTCTATCCATTCTCTATGTATGTGTTCCTAATCCCAAAGAGTGTTCTCGATGAAATTAGAAAATCCATCTCAAGCTTCTGGTGGGGCCAACAAAAAGAGTAAAAAAGAATGCATGGGAAAGCATGGAAGGAGGTCTGTAAACCAAAAGTAGAAGGGGATATGGGATTCAAAAATATGAGAGCTTTCAACCTTGCATTGTTAGGGAAGCAAATCTGGAAGTTAATTCTCAATCCATATTCTTTGGCAGCAAGGGTTCTAAAAGCAAAATACTATCCAAATTGCGATGTACCACAGGCCCAGGTGGGAACAAACCCTAGTTACACTTGGAGATGTATCATGGCAACTCAAAACCTTATTCAAAAAGGAATCAGATGGAGAATTGGGGATGGGACACAAGTGGACATTTGGGAGGATAGATGGGTGGCAGGAGTTAAAGATGCAGGCTTTAAAATTACTACTCCTAGACCAACAGAGGATAATATGGGGAGGGTAACTGATCTTATCAATCACAACCTCAAACAATGGAAGAAGCCTCTTCTACAACACTACTTCAACCAAATCGACAAAGCCCGGATTGAGGGAATTCCAATCCCACACCATTCAATACCAGATACAAAGGTATGGGCCCTCGAAAAGACTGGACTATATTCTGTTAAAACAGTCTACAAGCTGTTTTACAAAGAGCTAAACAGCAACCCCCTGATCATTGAGGAAGAATAACCAGATGCATATGATGAGATGGAAACTTTGAGTGCAGAAACTTAGGTCTATGACCCTATGAATTGGAAGCGGCTTTGGAAGCTGGTGATCCCACCCAAGATTAAGATATTCTTATGGAGGCTAATACACAACATCTTGCCTACGGGGAAGAACATAGAAAAGCTAAAGAAGGATTCCCCTACGGAGTGCCCATTTTGCAATTTGGAGGAAACCCAGAACCACATCTTCAAAGAGTGTCAGTTAGCTTCCAGGATATGGCGACCTACAAGCTTCAGACCTCAATTTGAGCTAGAACCCCATCTATCTACTTGCAGCTGGTTCTGCGAGGTAATGGAAAGGGTGGATGATGACACTCTAAGTCAACTAGGTATGATTATCTGGACTATTTGGAATGAACGTAATAACTATATGTTCAATAATTAGAAAGCATAAGAAGGGGAAATCGTAGGTTAAATTAGGTTGGGGTAATTTGGTCACTTAGGGTAAATTTATGTTGACTAGACGCTCAGTCAGCGCCTAATTAGCAACGTAGGACCCATTTTAATGAAATTTTAACATCAAAGTAACGGAAGGGGCTTCTTTAGAAAGTTAAATAAACTAGGGACTACCATAGGAACATTAATAGTTCAGGGGCCTCAATAGGAAACATAGTATAGTTCAGGAGCACATAGTCATTTAACTCTTTTTAAATTATAGCAATTATATGCATCATCAATGATAAATCAAACTTTTCAACACATAAGTCATAAACTTTTCAAATATTTAAGTCTAAAAACAACTACAAACATAAAAATCCACCATTTGGAACTTGCAATTATAGTATTTCGATTTTTCGGTCGAAAATTCGGTTCGGTTTAAAGAACCCTGATTTCCGAACTATTCATATTTTCCTTTCGAATTCCGAACCGAATACCATTAATTCGGTTTCGGTTTGGTTTAATTTGGTTTCAGGTCGGGTTTACCGAACCGGTTGATCACCCCTACGATCCAGTGGGGCTTTGTGAAAAGAGAAGGAAATGGAGCGGCCCATCTCATGGCCCACACAAAATGTAATTGGGACACCCAGGAATGCTCGGTATCTCGACCACCAGTTTTTCTGTTACCAATTTTGGATTCTGAGCCCATGAGGCATTAATAAACTTTAGGTCGGATTATCAAAAAAGAAAAAGTGCTTCTAGTGTTGCTTCTACAAAATACAATTTACAAACAAATAATCTTATAAAATAATATTATAAATAAACACGAGTAATAACAAACTGGTCGTATGGACTAGAATGTTGTGCTTGACTCATCAATAGAGCCCTAATATATCACGAGATGGGCTTTAGCCTTTATTGAGTCGTCTTCAACCTTCAAGGTAAGGTTTCTATTTAAATGTATACACATAGTAAAAAAGAGCAGGGAGAGACACACGTGCACATGATGTTTTGTTAATCGAGCTCGGACTTATGGCTTTATTTCTCGGCTCAAAGGTGGCTTACCCTCTGAGACTTAGTGTCCAGGTTTTTATCTTATTCCAATCTATCTCCAAGTTGAGTTCCTTCAGGTGGAGCTTAGACTCTTGACAAAAATAGAGCAATATAGTTATTTTTCTTTTCAGCTACACTGCTTGACAACAGACGAGCAACCTGCAGATCTCCTTACCAAAGTTGTTTCTACTAGTCGGCATTAGTTTCTTTCACACAAACTGATGTTGCATCAATCACCATCAGTTTGAGGGGGTAGTGAAATGTATTTTGTAAATATAGTTATGATGAGGGATTGAATTGACATTTGGCGGGATATGGGGGCTGGAGGAATGATGGTGTACACACCTAAGTGGTTAGGGGTTGTGCATGATAATGTTAGCTATATATCCCTGATTTAGGGTTTATGGCAATTTGAATAATAAAAAACACCAGCAACGTTAACTACCGTAGAGAGTGAATTAAAGCCTCTCTTATCGAACCATATTAAATCTAATGTCTTTGTCTCTACTTTTCTATATGCAAATTTGATTGTTTAACACATTCTTGCCCATTTGCATGCCCGCTTGTGACCTCCATAGGGAGAAATGGTGTTGACCCTGATGCCGTACTTGCCCAGCTCCACGGTCAAGTTGTTGTAGCATGCTTAGAAGCCTATTCAGGACCTGGAAAGAGTCCATTTTCTCCCCTTCAACTATTTGCTCCATCACCTGTTTACTCCTATGTATTATCACTTGACCTAATCCAAGCCCCAGAAACTCGCAACCTTCCCGTAGTTCCCACTGAAAAATAAAAACAAACAAACAACATTTCCTGCCGATCTTTCCGAGCAAAAACGATGCTATACATAAACATAATAGTATAGCAGAGGCCGTCCGTCGTCTCCAGCTTTTTAGCCTCTTTACACATATTCTTACACAAAGACAGGAAAAGTGACTTAAATCCCGAGAAGGGATTTATTCATTCATTACAGCCAATACACCAACAAAACAGAAACTTAACAGCTAGCTGACTGACTACGACAGAGAGTGTGTAACAATGGTACAAGCAAAAAGCTGCAAACTTAACCATCAAACGGGAAGGTGTATATTAAGAACAAAGATGAGCGGCAGAATGTAGTTGTTTCTTTTCCCCGCTAATTGAGTTGGGCCAGGGGCGGGCGTGGGATAAGAGAAGGTTTGAGTTCCTTCACCTCAAACGAGTCGTATGAGTTGTTCTCTCGGAATTCCTCCACCAATGCTTCCATCGGCATTGCTCTTAGCGATTCGATTGTCCCCTTGCTCGGAACCTCCGGCTCCGTCCTCATCGGAGTCGTCCCCGTTGGATCGTAGTCCTGCATCAACACAGTGAATGAATGAATCACGGTTTACAATTGGCGAACAAAGGGTTGATCCGGTAGTAATACCACTGGTCTTGAACAGGGAGGTCACATGGGATTTGGTTCGGACAAAAGTAAGTACCATAAAGCGCTGCTGGAAGGTTTCTTGTGATTTGTTCTCCATGACCGCAGCTTGACCAGAGTGATCTTCCCGGAAAGTCTCCAGTGTTTTCGTGTGTGCTTCAACCGTTGTCACTATGCCTGAAACTGATTCACGTTCTTGCGCTGACATACCTGCAGCGTGCAACGAACAAAGAACATAAAGTCTCTTTTCTTCATCAAATTGTGGATAATGCAGGTGATGCTGCTTATGGAATGAGAACGTATAAGACGGGATCACAAACACTGACCATCAATGTGCTGAAGAATGTCTTGGCTATTCGTTGCTACATCTTGCTCAGCTGCTGTCCTTGCTGAATCAATCTCAGCATCATGTTGCTCGATGTTTTCAGTTGCATCTCTACAACATGAAACAGCAATTGTGAGAAATTCGGGGGGACTGCGGAGTTCTACATAATGATGATTGATGGGAGCCTAAATGGAGCAGAGTGCTTATTACCTGACGAGGGTAGACAAAGACGAGACATGCTCGGTGCACATTTCGTTCACAGAGTCACGAGTCTTTTTGCAGTGCTGGAAAGCTGATTCGGCATTGGTCACGCTACAGGGTCGCCAAATGCTAAGCATCAAAACAGTGGGGAAAGAAATAGAGAAGGTACACAAAGAAGAAGACGCTAGTACCTTTGTTGGAGGAGTATCTCCATGCGACAATGTTTTGCAGCAGAATAATCTGCACCATCCTTGGCTTCACTTCCAGCTTGGACGCAAAACTCTTTCCATTTTCGTTTCGCTTCAGTGGTAATATTCTCCAATGAGGAGACTTGGCCATCCATAAATGTCCGGTTTTCAACAGCAGCTTCTCTGAGAACATCAAGCCTTGTATTCACCAGCTCCTTTTGACGGAGAATGTGATTAGAAAGAAGATTGCTGATATCGGCAACAAGCTTATCCGCTTCAGATTTACATTGTTCCTGCAGAACAAAGAATGCATGGGGATGATGTTCATAGAAAAGTAAAACATAAATCAACCACTAACTTGCTATTCAGTCGTACCTCATAAGCTTTCTGGAAATCAGCAATGCTGTTCATTTGGATGTTGTCAACTCCCATCACGTGATTTTGGATAGTTTGGGATTGGTCCATCAGTTTGCAAAGGAATCCATCTGTGTAATCTGAAATCTGCTTTGTTTGCTCACTACTTGAGTTGAACCTCTGTCATCCAAGTCAAATGAATATCCAAGCAATCAAACCCCAAGTCCGGATAGAAATCTCTATGTACACAAGTGATAAATTGTTTGTCACTCGCATGGAAAAAAAGGATCAGAACCTGGCGTAGCTCCCTTGCGAAAATGGCCATTTCACCCTGGTGAGCTGAGAGAGCGTTCCGGAGGTCATCAAATACTGCAGCTGCTTGGACACCTTCTGAAGCTAGATACTGAATCAAAATGAGACAATTACAACCCAAACCTGAAATATGAAAAGACAACTAGAACTGAAGTAAAGGTTAAAGGGAAAAGACTCTTACATCTTCAATAGACTGTGCATTGGAGGAAGCCAAAGTTGACATCTCATCCAGGCCAGCAATAGAATTCGACTTGTGCAGACGAACCACATTTTGCAACGCTTCAATGTGGGACGCGTATACTGTCCTCGTGTTTGTCAATTTCTTCTTCAATTTCTTGACCACCTACACAGACCAAGTATTAGACAAAATTATAGATGAATCAATAAATATTTTCTCATATGTCCTGTCAGTACCTTGTCATGGGTCTGCATAAAAGAATGACAGAGTTTGCCAACACACTGCAGATGCTCATCCTGCTGCGACATAGAGTTAGCAACTATGCTACGAAGACAACCAATCTGCTGAGAGAGCTCGGACTGGAAACTGTTGACTACTGATCTATTCTCAGAATGCAGTTGGTCTTCCCTACCTGTACATAGACTACATTAGTGAGCATCTTTGAGGACATCAGAAAAGTAGCTATTCTTGAAAGTCATGAGCTGCCTACCAATCTTGTCAAACAATGAAGCATTGTCTTTCAGAGCTTTCTCTAAGTCGGACCGCAAAGCACATGCTTGCTGGCTCAAAGCATTTTCTATTCGCAACATTTAGAATAACAATGTTTGTTAATGTGGTTCATAGAAACAATGGACATACGACAATGCATAACCAATCAACTGTACCAGCTTTTCTTTGTTCAGAAATGACAAAATCCCTTTCGTTCAGTGTGTAACGGCACTTCTTCAGTTCTTCCTCAGTATTAGCAAGCAATCTGCTTGTTTCCAGCAAGTTTCTCTGCAGGTACAATACAATTCATTTGAACCTGCTGAAAAATGTTTGTTTATAGACATGGCAGCACAAGAACAGCAGAATACCTCTGTGTGAGCAAGTTTGGTACTTAGATCAGAACAATGCCGAACTTGTACATCATACTTCTCTTGCAATTCCTCAAGTTGCTGTCCAGAGAATAGATAGGAGAGGATACAGAAATAAATGGTGTAACAATCAGAGGCTTTTCAACAGCAATTGAAAATTTGATATTACTATAGCAATTGAAAAGGAGTTCTTCACAAACCTTTTCATGAGTTTCTATAGTGAGCCCCATTTGTTCAATCTGATCAGCCATTTCCTACAAATAAACAGAATACCAACACAAAACCTGAGACTACCGCAAAAACGACTACAGGAATAGTAAAACTGAACGGATTTTCAACTATGTATCACACACAAATCATCAGACACGAGAAACAAATTCATAGTGCAGTTGGATAAATACCTTCCTTTCTGACTCCTCTTGATAGTATCGTTCCTTGGGGATGTACACACCATTCTTTTCACGGGCAGCATAAACCTCTGCAAAGATGACACATTTGTTGCCAGGTCAATAAAACTAGAAAAAAGCAGGAAATTGATCACAATACTATTTGTAATAATACGCAGTACGAAACCTTCTCACCTGCCTTCAGTCTATCAATTTCACCTTGAAGATCCTTGAGAAGGGTTGATTTCATCATTTTTTGGTTCACCTACACAGAACATTTTGCAGCTCAGCTTACACAGGAACAAAACATTTAAATGTTTAGAGTATCCGATAATGTATTACAAAGGTTGAACCAAACCTCAGGCTTATTCTTGATATGCTTGGCCCGGTGTGCATAATCCAGTGTACTCAATGTCTCTTCCAAACAGTGAACAGCAGGGGAAACAGTAGCTATAATGCAGGTTTTTGTTCTTCCCCCGAGCGAATCACGAAGCAATCTTGTGAGCTTGCTGTCCCTGAAAATTGCGTCACAGATAAGAGTTAGAAGAAAATGAAATAGTAGCATTATTCAGACTAGCACACACTAAACAACTCAAACCTATATGGAATATGGCCCAGATGCTCCACAAGAGCACTGATGACCCGGCCCAGTGTAAGCAAACTTTTGTTGATTTCGCCAGCTTCCCTGGCACGGCCCTAGTGGGAAATCGTGTTTTCAGTAATCAATTTCAGAATGAAGTCAACCTGAAAAAGATCATCACATGAACGAGAAAACATACCTCTCTGGCACCAGACCGAGAAATATTTTCTGAGCCAGCCAGATCCACCAAATTCAATTTCCCACATTTGATTAGTTCCTCACCCTCCGGTGTCGGTTCTTTGATGTGGATTGTTATCGAAAAGAGAGAATGCGAACGACTGTAGCAGAAGACAGGCCCTCAATATGACTGCAGAGTGTAGAGTTAAACATGAGGTCAATGAAACGCCAGCCAAGAATCAATTTTACCTTGATTGCTTGTTCAGCAAAGTCTCAGCAGTTCTGCGTTTTGAGGAACCTCTTTCCAGAAGAGTGAATATCTCACTTGCACTTGTCACTATTTCTTCTTCCAGACCTCTAACAAGAACTCCACCTTTCCCATCCTCCATAAGTGGCAAGGGCTTCTTTTGCTTCTCTTCAAAAGCTACCTTAGAAATTTCTTCTGGGGCAAGCAAATCAGTGATTTCCTCGTTGTAAAGCTCCAAGAAAGTAACTTTCACACTGTATTCAGCATTCTGCCCTTCAAGTGTATCAAAAATTTGCTTCACGGCTCTAGGAATAACCCCTGCTTCTTGGGGCAGTTCTCCATTAAGCCCACTCTGTTCAGTTCTCAAATTAGAGCGACAAGGCAAAGAATGAAATATCAATAATTCACACCTTACTATATCAACCAAAAGCACAACTGTAAGTTTAAAGATAAAGAGAGAGACCGTTAAAACAAAAGACACTGGAAACGCATTGAGATAACAGTACCTTTGCCCTTTTGCATTCACCCTCCATGGTGTAAGTCTTACCTGTACCTGTTTGACCATATGCAAAAATGGTACAGTTAAAACCTTCCAGAACTTCGTTTACAATCGGTACTACTGCCTGGTCATAGAGATCTCTTTGCTGAGCTGAAGGGCCAAAGACCTGAAAACGACACAATCAACAATCAGGATACCAACTTTTAAGTCCAGGCAGAGCGCCAAACTCAAAGGTGAACACTCAATCAAAGAGGGACTGCTGGCACTACCTATAAAATCAGAAGAGATACATCTAACAACGAATAAAGTGCAATCACATTAATTCAAATCTCTTTGAACCTGAAACCTAATCCCCATTTTAATTTGATACTCTCCACATCATTGCATCAATTTAAACTGGCAAGTACCAGTATCCAACAAGTAAATGCAAACTCTAATCCTGGAAACAGCCCGTCAACATTCTGTTCAATTATTACTAGCAAATATTACCTTGTCGAAAGTGAAAACTCGGTCGATATGCTTCCCGGCGATGTTCTGCGAAACCGCCACTTCTCTCTGGTAATCATTGCAAGTCACCACTTGTGGCGCATTGCTCCTCAGCTCGTCGTCACTAAACGGCCTAATCAGACGACACTTGAATGGTTACGAGAGTCCAAATCCAAGGAAATCAAACAAATCCGAAAGAACAACTTCAACAAAATGGAAAACCCTAACTAACTGGCCAACACTTCTCAGTTCTCACCTGCAACGAAGCAGGACCTGAACATTAACGCCCTTCTCTTTCTCCTGGCGGCCGGACATTCTTCCGTCAGTTTTCCCCAATGAAGAGAGGAAAGGCGGACGAGTTCCTGCTCTGCTGCTGGATCCACCGGCACGGGATGGAGACGGAGCTGGCGACGCAATCTTCGCTACTTGTAGACTCTCCGCAGGAACACTCTCGGTTAGCACTCTCCTCTATCTGCCTCTCCGCCGGAATCCTCACTTCGGTTTGACTTCCTCTCCGACTCCGATCTATCTCCTTTGGTTTCTCTGGGCGGGGAGTGAATACATGTGAGAGGGGGAGAGCGGGCTGGCGATGTGGATTTGAAATTTTCAGAACCCCCGCTCTCTTGTTTTATTTGCCTCTTCTATTTTCCTTTTGGAAGATGATCTGACGTTTGGTATTCGAGCATTGTGTATCCAACGGTTCTTAGTTTGTTTGGTCTCTGAAGCCTTCGGGCCGATTGTCCGTTGTACTTAGGATAGTATAATGATAAATTTCAAATTTTCGGTCCTGGTTTCAAATCTATCATGGACTGCTATTGACGATCCTATAATGTTGGGCCACTGAAAGCCCGTTCTATTTGGGGTCTAAGTAAGGCGTTCGACTATGGCACCTGCTGCTTAGATAGCGGTAGGGATGTTCAAACGGTGTGGTTAATTTAGATAATATTTAGATAATTTGGTTTTGTTAATTTGGATAATAATTTGGTTTGGTTAAATGTTTTAACTTGTTTGATTTAGGTGGTTTGGTTTGGTTTCAAACACTCCTAACCAATCAAACCAAATTAACCAGTTAAATAATTAGTAATATATCTCATAAATATTATATACACATACTTAATACTTTGCATAATCACTTAAGTGTCAAACGTTCCTCCTCTTAGGCTGAAAAAAAGTAAAATTCAATATTGTTCTTATACTGCATATTTGTATTTAGAGAGTGTAGAGCACAACATATGGACTCTTATTTTAGATAAAACTCATACAATATGTTGGATGAAAACTTTAAATGAATATCCATTCCGAGCGGGATACGCTCACTTCCCCCTAAGGGGGTTGTGAGATTCACAACCAATGGTCATTTTGGGTACGACAAAAAAAACTAATTTATTTATTAATTGTTTGTATTAATTACATATTGATAATTAAAAACTCATGTTAAATACATGTTTTTTTAAATTTAAATCCTACAATAAATACATTTATCTCTCTTTCTATCTCTCTTTTCCTTTTCCAACAGCCACTCCGACCGGCTGACTTTCCTACCGACAGACTTTCTCCGGCAAAATCCTTGAACTGAATCATACTCGCTCTGACCACCTGCAAAAAATTATCACTCCGTCAGTGTGCTAGTGGTCCCACGGGTACCACTACCAGTACAACGCTACCACTACCACCTGATAGTTGGTAGTGGTACCAAATGATAGTGGTACGTTACCACTACCAGCTACAAGATGGTAGTGGTAGCGTACCACTACCAGTAGAAAATCACTACCACTAGTAAAAAACAAGATATGAAAATCACTACCACTACTAGAAGAAAATCACTACCACTAGTAATAAACAAGATGGTAGTGGCGGCGGTGGAGGGCGCGAAAGGGGTGGAGGGAGGCGGAGGGTCGCAGGACGGTGAGGAGGCGGTGGCGGTGGAGAGCACAACAGGTGTGCAGCTGGCCACAGTGGAGGGGGTGGGGCAGAGCCGTCTGAGGGAGATAGGGAGGAGGAGAGAGGGAGGAGTTAGGGGTTTTTTCATTTATATGGGGGATGATTGAGTGTGACAAGTTTTTTCCATTCCAAAAATACCCTTCGTTTAATCTTAACCAATGATTTAAAAAAAATAGGAGAGAGAACGTATCTGATGGCTACATAGTGGGTTATGACCGTTTCTCACCTTATCTATTTCAGCCTATGGCAATTGCTAAGAGAACGTAAGATAATTGTATTAGTTACATGTATTTATGTTAAGGATTAACTATAACTATGTGTTGATTGTTATGTTTAATTTATTATATAAATTGCAAATTGATGCATTAATTGGAGATTTCCTCACTTAATGATAAATGTGATATTATATTGGTTATTCTGGTTAACCTATTAACCAAATTGATTAAACTTTAATTTGGTTAATTTGGTTTTTGTATTAGTTTGGATGGTTTGGTTATGATATTGTATTCCATAGTTAACAGATTTTAGGCTTATTTGGTTTGGTAATTACCATGGTAACCATTTGAATACCCCTAGATAGTGGGCCTTCTTAGCTAGACAAGTTTTTTTCATGCTTTATTTCTCAGCAAACGACAACTTCATTTTCGTTAGGGATGGCAAGTTGAACCCGCCTCGTCGGGTATTACCCGACCTGACCCGCGATGGGACAGGTATTACCCCAAGTCAGGTATCACCCGACCCGCAGTAGTATGGGGCGAGGCATGAGTATCTACTTTTGGCCCGCCCTGGCCCGTTCTTGAGCCATTTTTCTCACTTTTTAGTTTTTAGAGTATTTATTCATATTTCTCCTATTTTAACTTTTCTTCAACTAGTTAGACTTGATCTTTCAACTAGTTAGACTCATTTACCCATTCTAATATCACTATTTTCATTCATATAGTGTTTTCCTCTTCGTATTATCGTAAAACGTAAAATTTTGCGTGTATGTATTTTAAGTAACATATAAGAGTGGGTCGACCCGCCCCGACCCACAATAATGTGTGGCGAGGCATGGGTATTGAGGTACCCGCCCGCCCCATTGTCATCGCTAATTTTTTTTTATATTTTATGTTGTGACAGTTATAGGAAACCGAATGACAAGTTAACATCCCATAATGTGGTGGAAATTGGTTCTGATTGAATTGACTCGGTCTACGGGATTATATTTTCATCGTGATCGTAGTTGGACCAAATCATTAAAGTCTCTGATTTAATTAGGGGTTAATACTTAGTATATTTGTTTGGCTCGAATTTTTCTCGAAATTACTATCTTGACCATTATTATAAAAAATGCGTATCTTGGCCTAAAATATTAGCGTAATTGACTAATTTGACTTGACCATAGCATTGATCGTCAATTTGGACGGTCAACAAAATATTAACGTAAAATATTAGCATAATTGCCGTCAGAAGTTGAACGGAGGACTAGGTTTTCGAGACTGCAATAGTAACAACTTAGCTCTTCTGGCAAAGCAGGCTTGGAGGTTTCTTCAAGAGCCATATGGGGTGTTGGTTTCCTGGTACAAGGATCCTTACTTCCCGGGAATCATCTTTTCTTCTAGCTTCTCTTTAATCTCATCCATCTTGGGCATGAAGGGGAATTCTTGAGGGTATAAGTCTATTGCTCCTTGGTATTCGGTGGCACATATGATCTGGCCATTTGGTTCATATCATTGATGATGGATGGTTGCTGACTTCACCTCCTTCTCGTCCTTCACTCCTTTCAAATGTGGTTCTACCCTTTCCCATGCATGGTATCTGATAGACCGTTATTTGCACATGTTTTGTCCATGATTATTGAACCGTTTGAGAATCGATTCTCGTATTTTAAGATGATTTCACGCTAGGTTGTGCGTTTATGTCATATTTCAGGACTTGGCGCGGAAAGAGAGTCTTCGAGGCGAGTTTCGAGTCGAAAATGGAGAGTTGGCGGCGAGGAGGAGCTGGCAGGAAAAATACCTGGTCATGTCACTATAATACCCGACCGGGTATATGTGGCTGGAGACCGGGTAAAGGCAATTTGGAGGCCCGGACAGGATCCCTAAATACCCGATCGGGTATTTTTACCCTGAATCGGGTATTCTCCATAAGTCTGCTATGTACCGTTTCCACATACCCGGCCGGTCCTCTTAATACCCGACGGGGTATTTAGGTCGGGTTTTGAGAGCTGCAGTTGTTTGTAGGAAATTATGGGTTCTTTGGCATGCATTCAAGTTTTGGAAAAAGAAAGTGAAACCTAGAGAGAGAAAACGACGAACTAAACCTCCAAAGTGACCTAGATAGAGTTTTGACGTCATTGGAGCTCGATTGAAGCTTGGAGAAGTGTCGATTGACAATCAGAAGCCGATTTTCATCCTCCACTAGGGCTGCAAATGAGCCGAGCTACTCGCGAGCGGCCCGACGTTCGACTCGAGAAAAACTCATTCAGAACTCGGCTTGTTAATAAATGAGCCGAACATGAGCTAAACTTTGTTCAACTCGTGAAGCTCGTGAGCTAGTTCGACTCGGTGGATTGTTGAGCTAAACTCGTGAGCTGGCTCGTTTAGAGCTCATGATATGTCTCAACATATGGCTAGAGAGCCAACTCAATTACCGACTTAACGAATCATTCTATATCTTATGATTTTAATTCATATGATTGTTAAATTATATATCTCGCCATATATAAAGTTTAACACGTTGAGTATGTGAGCAAATATATCTTATTTCCTATTTTAAAAAGAAATTATGTATCATAGATTGGTTCGATACTATGAAATAATATGATTTGGAGTAGTTAAAATTTATTAACTAACTGATATATGATACAAACAAAGTATAATATGAGATTAGCTAACAAAATAAATCATATGTACCATGATATACAAAATGAAGTACCAAATAAAAGTCTAAGATTTAGTTAAACAAGCTAGCTCGAGGTCGACTCGACTCGGCTCGTTAATAAACGTGCTGAGCTCGAGCTCGACTCGTTTATTAATGAGCCGAGCTCAAGATGGTGTAAAACTCGACTCGACTCGACTCATTTGCAGCCCTCCACATAATGATTTTTGCATCTGAAGCTGATTTCTCTTCTCTCTATTGAGTAAACTCACTCTCTCTCTCACCTGGGTATAAAGAACCCTAGATTTGTATGTTAGGTTTGTTGTATAAACCCAAGTACATTATCTTTCGACATTGATTATACTCAATTGAGGCATGATTTTCTGAATTGCATGAATCCTGATCAAATTCCTGTAGTTTCTGCTTTGACCTAGCAAGAGAATATATGCCTAGGTTGACAGAACACCCTTAATTGAAGGTGGGGAATTGACTACTTTAGTTGATGAGTCAATTCTCAGCTTTGTACGGGATTTACTTCAGTAGAGGAGGTTTTGCACGTTAGGGCCTTAGTTTGTTTACTCCGGTGGAGGTTAGTCGCCCGCCGGGTATTCAGAGTGAGAGGGTCTGGAGACCTTTAGTCGAGACTTCAGACTGAATAAGAACCTTCCGCAGTATAACTGTCATTAAATCTGAAATTGGTGAATTATAACCAAACTTAACTGCAAGCTAGGCGGAACCATATCTGGGTGACCTCTCTCAAACTTGAACTACAACCTTTACTGCTTTGTGGTTTGTTTAGATTAGCTATAACCTCGCTACCATTTAATAGCTAGATTACGAGAATTCACGGAGTAGTCATCACATCTAGGACCCGA